GCGCATTACATCGTATGATAACGAGTGCCCGAGAGCTCTCGCGTGAGCGAGAAAAAGAGAGAGAGGAAGAAAGAGGGAGCGCCCTTCCGCCTGATATCCCAGTTTCACGGAGAAAGACCTGGCGAGGATCAGCCGCGTGTGAGAGAACACCTGTGCGGCCGGAGGAACGAACGGAACGGGAGCGCGCGGAGTCGACGCGAGTCGAGAGAAAGGGGGGAGAGAGGGAGGCGCTCGCGAAAGAATGAACCGAAGAACAGTAAGGAGCAAGGAGTCACACGGTGCGCTATGAGCATAGCGGACCTAGCGGTAGATACTCTCAGATAACGCGCTCATTTGCATAGGCAGGCGCATAAATGAAAAGCAATGTGGCGTAATACATTGCGGCGCGTATGCAGTTTGCGCAAGAATATATGCAGATAAACAAACGCGACCTCTTCCACCTGCCGGGGCGATCTTCACGGTCCGGGGGAGCCACGACGAGGGGACCAAATCGCGCGGCCGGCCGATTCGATTCACGGTGGAGATCCGTTGTTGGTAATTAAACAGTTAGCCTCTCTCCCCAAGTGTTCACGTAGAAACGCAAAATTCACAATCTGTAATCTATATTCCAAAGATCCGCACAGAGAAAATGTTATAGTTTCTTTTTTCGTATAAATTCCTTTCGATTTTACCCGCGTTTCTGGCAGCGCGGGAATAGATTGTCAGCAAGGTCTCCGCTGAGAGAGACATGATAAATCTCGCTAGAGATATAGCAAGTTTTAATAGCGCACCTCACACACAGTTCCTGAAGTATAAGACATATAAGAAATGAAGGAACAAGAAATCACTGCAGAATGTCGATCTATTCCTCGCGGCTGGAAAGTTCTGTAGCCACTTTTACCATAAAATTCTCTCCGTATATAATCCACTGCCAGCCAGTGGAAGAGAGGTTGCAATGGTTTTTTGCCTCGACAAATTTCAGAACGCATCCGGCACTTAATAAGAGGAGTTACTCTCTTAGTAATTCTCGAAGGATACATTTTCCTATTAGATACCGGATGCTTTCTGAAATTCCTCGAGGTTGAGTGTTGCAAGCTTCCTTTCCTTGATTGTGCACTTTTATTAAAAGTGTTCTACACGGCATGAGAGAACAATGAGGAGGAGGTAAGAGGATGTTAAACGGAGTAATCGGGAGACGAGGAGCTAGCCTTCGAATTCTCTATCTGTCTATCACGAATGACGCAAGCTCCCCGCAGCGTGTCTAATGGCCTTGATAAGTTCGCCCATTAGACGGCATTCGCCAGAGCGAATTGATAAAATTTCTGTGAGCGGCTACTGGAAGCAGCTACTCAAGAGCGTACTTCAATTTAACCGTCACGGCTGGTTAGGTACTCAGGACGCCATTGTGAGCGGAATTCCATGCAAATGGAAGAAACGGCATGCCCGTGTCTGCCTATTGTTTTATCAGTTCGGCGGAATGCCGATAACGGGGGAAGGGAGGAGGGGAGGAATCGTGAGACCGTTGAGCGATCGTTGGGGGACCGCCGGAGGGAAGAGAGAAGGTATTAACGAGCATCTCGCGCGCTACCTGTTGTTGCCGCTATTCGAACGAAAGAGCGACGCGATCGACAGGATGCGAAACGACGTGCGTGCGATCGCGGAAATAAAGGTTGTCGCACTTTTTCTTCTTTTCTTCATGTTCAATGCGTCTCAAATCTTATTCAACATCCGAGAAGGAGACACGTCTTCTCTGGCAGCTCCTCAGAGACAAATTCTTCCATTGACGTTCCGGCTGCGTTTCGAGGTGCATCGAGGAAAAAGTGTGTCAAGCTTGTTTCCGCAATTGTACGAACGAGCGTCGTCGCGCTCGTTTCCTCCCAATTTAGCAATCCTATATCTTCTCACCGAAAGAATTTCAGCCAGATATCGACACGTAATTAGAAACCACGGATTGATTCTTCAGAAGAAGTGCTGCCTCCGACAATGAATTCGACGGGGAGAATCTCGTAGGAGAAATTGCTTTAGAATTTTCAAACCGAGGAGTAGATTGCGAAAGTGCACGATTTTCGCGCGGATCGCGAGATTGAAGCTTCGCTCGATTGCAAGGAGATATCGAGGACTCGCGTCGAGACTCCACTCGGCGTGTCCTCGCGATCAGAGTCGTTGTCCTTGCTGAAATCGTTTTCTCTCCTTCGAGTTCACCTGCTGCTGACGAACATCCGGTCATGGCGTAGCGCGCACAATGGAATAGCAGCGTGCGATGAACCACGGCCGAAAGTGACTCATCCGCTTCAGGTGGCCACCCCGAAGTCGATCAGCTTTGATGGCGACGAGAGACGATCTCTCTCACTCTCTTTTCCTCCCTCAACTCCCGGCAACTCGTCAGCGCGACCTCGGACTTGGTTGTCGTCGTTAAACAAAAACGCGAATGCCTGCGACTAGCTCGCGGAACGTCTGTGTCACCGCCTCCGCCTCCGCCGCCGTCGTCACCGTCATCGTTTTCGTCGTCATCGTTAATTAACTCCATGCTGATTGCGTATCTGTCTGCCGCGGGCAAGAAATGACCGCAGACACGATCTTGCCGCGAAGCGACAAGATAACGCGGTCTCTCTTCAACCGTGGACGATCTATTCTCGATCGGTCGATGTCCAGCCTTCGACGCGTGTCCTCTCTTCTTCTCCCTCGTCGCTCTTGCGAAGTTTTCGTGGCCAGTTTAATTAACTCTTCCCACAGCGCGCGGGGGACTGCCCCCGCGAATGCTGAGCACCTTGTAATTTCGCCGTCATTCTTCGGCGATCGTGCGCTCCACCGGCGATCGTTATTATCTTTCAGCGTTTCCGATCGTGACGAGCGCGCCGGCCGATCCAGCCGCCTTCGACGTGTCTCGCGCGCGAGGAAAAATTGCGAGCGCGAATAGCGCGGAATAATCGTGAATAATAAAGCGGACGGCGGCCGCGACGGCGAAGAAACGAGAGAGAAGAAAGTTCAATATTTACCAGGCTGAAAAGCTCGGGGAGCGTTGGAACAGAGATTCTCTCCCTCTCCCATCCTCTCTTTCTCTCTCCCCCTCTGCCCCTCTGTTCATTCTTTGGCCGCGGGAAACCGAAATCTAACGGTGACCGTAAAGCAACGTCGGCCGTTACTGACTTCGTCTGCGCGCTCGCATCACCACCGTCGCCGACACCAGCAGCAGCGGCAGCATCACCACCACCGGGTGGTGGAGACGACGTGACAATAAATAACACGACGTACGGTTAGAGGCTTCTGCTTCTCGCGCGGAGGCCCGTAAACTCGCCTGTCCGCGGCGCGACATAGCGCCACGTCGTCGCGGCGCAACGGAAACCGCGTCTCCGGGATCAGCAGGATCCCAGAAAGTTTCCGCGGAGCGAGCCGTATCCTGCCGATGCGATTCCCGATGCGACTGTCCCGCCGGCGGAATTGCGATCGAGCGGAATAGCGACCGTGAAATCGCGATACGACGACTTCGTGTCAGGCCGTACAGAAAGAACAGATCAGAGAAGCCAGAAGGAGTGATTCTCACGAGACTCTTCCTCGAGACTCTCAGTCGAGCGGTCCGTTCCTCCGCCGAGCAGCCGTGTCCGTTTTTGCACCATCCGGCGTTATGGACACACCCGAAGCGACTCGATTAGCTCGCCTCGATACAGCTCCAAGTGTGTGTACATACACTCGTCCGCGTGAAGGTCCGAGCCGCTCGTACATACAGGTTGAGCGCTCCACAGGAGCGGCGAGGACTTGATTAAGCTGGAATATCACACGATACGCGATTTCACGTCCTCTTACACGTGCATGCTGACCGGCAGTTCGGTTCACTGGATGAGTCGCTTTGGAAGGTCTATTATGCGGTGAGCCGAGCCGCCGGTCGGCTTCTAATCGCTTGATGCACCCCTAACTTGACGAAAGAAACGAGAATGTACTGCAATATACCGTTTTGCAAACGAGTGTGCATACGGGATATGCGAGCGCGCGGAATGACCCGAGACGTCGGCCGAGATTATCCAGTTACTCATAAATTGTATCAATTAACGCGAACTGAAAAGGTCGGCTGGAGGATAGAAAGAGAGAGAGAGAGAGAGAGAGAGAGAGAGAGAGAGAGGGAAATTGCTTTTTCCTTAGCGCGAACGCCATAGAAAGGTATATGAGCGTGTTAATTAGAATAAGAATATGTATCGGCGGGACGAGAGGAAGAGCAGAGGAGGAGTGCGAGAACTCTCTCTTTTCTCCGTGCATTATACGAAACGCAACCCATTAATGATGCTAATGCGCCGCATTGTGCAAATGCGCGCCGTCTCGTATCGTCGGCCGAGTCGCGCCCCGCAACGCTACCAGCGTGGCTGCTTATATACACGCAAATATATATATATATATATATATATATATATATATATATATATAAGTATCCTTATACGTATGTACGTATGCAGCTTGTTAGATGAAGTTGTTGCGGATCGTTGTTGGAACACAACCTGCGCGCACAGGTATACGCGCCGTCTTTTAATGTAGACATCGGGTCGCCGCGGTGTTCGCGCGCGACGCGGATAGAGAAGAAACGCGCAGACACGTTTTTCCGACGATGCGGCACGACGGGATGCATGTGCATACACACACGTGTGTGTGTGTGTGTGTGTGTGTATGTGTGCGTGCGCACACGCGCCCGCGCAGCCGCATAGTTCCCTTCCGCAATTTATGCGGAATGCGGTCCCAGGCGCCGCGGAGCCCTTACAATGAAACACCGTAGGAGGCTGCGGGGATTTCAGGGAATACCGCGCGCGCGAGAGAGAAAGAGAGAGCGCATTTAGCTGTTAATGAGACATCGCGCGATTTTATTAACAGCTGAGTGCGATTTAATCGGAATAACGCGCGCACGCCGCCAAATTGCCGCGCGAGAATGATGCGATTGTTCGACATCTCGTTTCCACCTGTTAACTGTCGAACGTGGCGGCGATACGTAACCGCGACGTGAAGAGTGAGTTGTTTTCACAAAAAGTCGTTTATGATGCAGAGGTTATTTATATTATGATTACATATGTGGATTACAATCGTTCGTTTCGATGCAATTGTCTCCTGCGGTATACATTCGCGGTGACAAAATAACGGATAAACGGTATGCAAAATAACGGCACGAGAAAGATGCCTCTTTCCCGCTCTGAATATACTTATTTGAGGGTAACAGGTAAATTATGTAATCTATTTTTTTTCGCGTAACTTACACGCAGAGAATGTTACAGTCATCTCTATCATACAGTTTCTTTTCGATTCTATTGCGTTAGCGGGCTGTTAGAAAGGTCTGTCTCGCTGAGAAGCACAGCGAATTTCGCTAGAAACGTAACCAATTTCTTAACAAGCACATCTCAGTTTTTAGAACGTGCAAGCGGCAGATTCGACATGAGAGAACACAATTACTGCAGAATGCCGATCCGTTTCTCATTCACCAAATTCCGCAGCAATTTCCGTGATAAAATTCCCTCCGTATGTAAACTTAGCTATCTACGTAACTCAGTTCTCGTGCAACCTAATTATTTATGTAACTTAGCTCTCGCGCAACTTGTATCACAGTTCCTTCGTGCGGAAATGAAAGGAAAACAGTAGAATTCGGAAGTCCAACGATCGTTAAATCCGCCAAAGGTCGTCAAGACTACCCATTTAACATATACGTACTTACATTATAAACGCGAGACACCCTTCAAAGTTCCTTTTTTGTCTATTTATATACGTACATACGTACCTAAAGATCGTTGCCACAAAATCGGCGATCGTATTTAAGGGGAAAGAGAAATAAAACGTGAACGCTCGCGCATTAGTTTGTTTCTCTTTAATTATTCCCCGAGCGGCTTTTGCGTGTACACGCCGGGACATTTTATTGCACCGATCAGCGGCTGCACGTAGACGTCGAGATCCCGAGATAGAGCTGCGTCCACGCACGCGGCTCGCCGCGGGATAGAGGAGAACGAGCATGTAGGTGAAGGCTGGAGGGCTCTCCAGGATGTGTCGAAAGTGAAACTCAAGGTCTCGTGCGGTCTCTCTCGTTGTGTGTTGCATGTATATGCATGACTATTGTCCGCCCTCATACGGGCTCGATCATAGCTCCGCGATAGAGCACTTCGATCCAGGTCCTTGGAGAGTCTCCGCTTCGGCGTCGCCGGACGCGATCGTACATTTTCGCGCAGGGACGAGCGCGTCATTGTGGAGAGAGAAAAATGGCCTGCGGAAAAAGTGCGGATCGCCGGTCAGGAGCCTGTCGATTCTCTCGAGTTAACACACTCCTCGCCGACGGTTCTTGGTTCCCCTTGAGGGCCCTCGCGCTCGCTCCTCTTCCTCCGAGTCGCGTCCTCGAAATCGCCCGAAAATACGACGGTCCTCAGACCGCGTGCTTCCTCGTGCTCGGCAGGAAGCACGTGAGAAGGATGCATACTGAAAGTCGCGAGATCAAGCAGTCGCAAGGTTAGCTCGCATCGCGATCATCCGCGATTAAACAGTTTGTAACGGTCTCAAACGCCGTTTGTGAGACTGTCTCGGCGTGAAATCTGTCGGATTTGACGAAATACTGACCACGAGACAGAGAAACGCAGGGAGGAATACGTACGTAAAGTGAAGCACGCCAGATTGATGATCGGCGCCACGCAGCCGTGCGCGAGCAAGACCGGAAACATGAGATTACCGATCATGGATCCCAGCCTTCCTACTATCATTTCCATGCTGACCGCCATGGCTCTGACAAGAGAACGCAAAATTCAATAACGTCGACCATCGACTTAACGGTATTCGCCCGGTGCATCGGACAGGCGTTGCAAATGCAAGTGACGAACCTCAAGGATGTGGGGAAGAGCAGAACGGTCGCGCCCACCAGGACGTTGAAAGTCTCGCTCAGCAGTCCGACGAACAAGCACGTGAGCACGAGGATGATCCACATGTTCGTGGCCCAAATTAGAGATATCAGGCACACGAGGGCGCAACTGTAGCTGATCACTGCGTCCACGAGGAAACGCAACGATTAGCCTCTCCCCCCCAGTGTGATTCGTTGCAGTCGTTTTAATCGAGCACTCAACAATCCTCCGTTTTGCGACAAAAATTACAAACGTTGGAAACTACGACACGTTCTCAACGGAAAATAAGGGCCTTCGCACAATGAGAACAATTTTGTCCTAATTCCTTTTACTCATATACTGAGGAAAAACGCTTGAAAACTTATTTCTGGAGGACATGAAATGTATTCACGGGAGTAAACTTTATTTCACACAAAAGTGAACTTTATATCCCACAGATAAAGTATCCAGTATTTTTTCTCAGCGTAGATAGAAACGCTTGAAAATTTATTTGTGAAATGAGCTTTGTATCTCGCGAATAAATCCTTAAGAAATCCTATTTCTTTCTTTCACATGGAGAGAAAAGTGGTGCACTGCCCAGAAATGACCAACGAATCACACGGAGGGCTAACAATTTCGTATCTAGATGCGCAAGAGAATAAGAATGGAAACGGAGGAGGAACTTACGTAAGAGATACTTGTGCTCGATAAAATTAACGAGCACGCTGGCGATGAGAATGAAGGCGCTCGCAGTGATCGACACGACAATAGTGCCGGTGTACATGGACTCCTGAAAAATCACATCACGTTAATTGCAGGCGCAGGCGACGCGCGATCTCGCGTCGTCGCCTTACGTTCTCGGGGAGGCTCACCGGTGCCGTCGCGACGGTGCTGTTGTCTGCGTCGAGCGACGTCGAAATATCGAGTATCTCGCAGAAGGTAGGATTAGTCACGTTGGTATCGAAGTTCTTAAAATTCTCTATCGTCGCGAAGAGCTGCGGCTGCCAGAGGCGCAAGGTGTTGAGGCTGCAAACGACGCGACGAATAATAGCGGCGCGTCAATATTAATCAGCGTCGCAGCGAGTCCAAGATAAGCCGCGCGAAAGAATCGCACGTTGCAAATAAACATTCGTCGCTGCTTAAGCATATGATCCCGCGGCGTGTCGTCGGCGTTTCGTCGGGCCGAGCCGCAGTCGGAAGTCGTCGCGGCATCTTTAATCCGGAGGCTCCGCGCGGACGTCTCTCGTCGAATCTCGGCCATCGACGCGCGCTTATTTTCATGCGTTATCAACGTCGAAATCCGCCTCCCCGTTCCCGGCGTCAGCGGAAAATTTTCCGCGGGTCCGATAAATGCCTCCGCGAACGAAAGGGGTACTTAAAATCTCGCGTTGCGCGCGAATTGCACGGTTAAACCGACAAACGGCGCCGTTTTATTTTTGTTATCGCCGTACCTGACATCCCTTAATTTAGTAGAAGATTTTAGTAGGCGTCTCTGACGACGAGGCGCGCAAGTTACTTTGAGCCGAGGACGAGGATACGTGTGTGTATTCAGTTTTATTTTTGTTATCGTCTCCTCGCTGACACCCTTTAATTTAGTAGAAGAATTTAGTAGAATTTAGTAGAACACGTGATGCGACATCCGCGCGGCGATGTGTATCCAGATAATGGGAGTATATCTCAAGCTAACAGTCGGAACAACACAGATGCATATAGCTCGCGGCATATACGGCTCTCTCTGTCTGCGCCTCTCTCTTTCTCTCTCGCGCCCGCGCTGATAAGGTCGTAAATCCTCGGGTCTGTCATTCAGACATCAACGCGGCATTTATACGACCAAACGCGGTATTAAAATTTTTTACGACGAGTCACTCGTCTTATTGCATCTCGTAAAAAGCGCCAGCGCGATTCCATCCGAGTAATCGCGGAGTAACTTACACGCTACCGCTCTACTATCGCGCGCGCTGCTACTCGCCACTCTGATAACTCTGATTTACGACGCCTACGCGACGATCACCTCGCGGCAATGCGCGATTATTATTGTGCAACTAATAATAACGAGGAATTCGATCCGATTCGAAATCAATGCGTCGAACGAATTCCGACTCTTTTCGCGCGCCTACGAGAGCAGTCGAATGCGAAACGCCGATGACAGAGAACGATTCGTTGCACTCGTGAACACGCGGAGTCAGCTCGGCAAGAAATAAATATCATTTATTTCGCCCTTTTACGGAGTAAACTGTGACGCCTTCCGCTTCCTTACACAGGAAATATTTTTTTCTTGGGGAAGATATTTCCCTTTTTTCTTCTCTTCTTTTTATGAGACAAATCAATTACTTTCATTTCTTATTCCAACTTCTTCTTACGCCAAGCTAACACCTCGTGTATTGTGGACGAGCCGTTACGTGTTTCTATCAATGACGTATATACATAGACCAAGCATTCTCGTCTGTAAAGTGAAGCCGGAAGTTGGCAGTTTAAAACAGAGTGAGAAAGTTGATACGCCTCTAGTACTTTCTCACTCTATATTACTGACTGTCAAGAAGGAGGGTTCGTTTAACACTGCAAATACTTTAAATAAAACAATGTGATCGATCCATTCGTTACTCTGAAACACTTACAGCACTAAATAGAACTATTTACAGTACTAAACCTTATCCAAGAACTGTATCTCGTCATAACAACCTAACCTAACCTTTTTCATTTGACAGTGAAGTGAGAACAGGATAAGAGCAATTGCTATGATTATTTATACACAGCATAAAATATTATAAATATCAATTTTATGTCGAGATAAGTGAAATATATGGTTTTATTCGTTTAGTTCTGCACTGCATTATATACAGCACTTGACAGCTTGACAGCGGCCATATTCTTTCTATATGATAAAATGAAAAAGCACTAGGAACAAATCAACTTTCTCACTCTGTTTTAAATTGCCGACTTCCGGCTTCATTCGCTGCTACAGCAGAAATATAGGAATGCTTGGTCTATTTATATACGTCACTGGTTTCTATGTATATCATCATCGCGCCGTCGAGTACTCACCTCAGCATTCCACCGAATTGCACGGTAACGAACAACAGAATACGCGCCAGATGCGGCTTCGAGAGAATAGGCATCATCTGCCGGATCCCATCCTTGAAGGACGACTTGGCGCGAGAATCCAGCGATCGTTCCGGATCAACAATCATATTGTTCAAATTCATGTCGCCCAAGGCGCGTATCTGACAAATGAAAAACATCGTCGTCTAAGCAATTTTTTTATTTTTACGGAGATGTCAGATGCGAATTAGAATATCTGTGTATGCGCTCACCGGATAGTTGTCCTTAGGTAGGCCAGTGTTCATGCTGTAGATCTGCTTGAAGACCTCGAGCGCGTCCTCGTTGCGATTTTGCGTCATGAGAAACTTGGGGCTCTCCGGGAAGAAGCTGAGGCAGAGGATGCCTATCATCGTCGGCACTCCGCAGAGGGAGAGAAAAATCCTCCAGGAATTATAGACGAAGGCGCCGTCCCAAAGGACGATCGACCACGGCTGAGGGACCACCAGCCAAGCCAGCACTAGTCACCACAGTGCGACAGGAACATTAAACGTTACTTTTGCGTGTGACGTATCGATATCTAATCTTTACTCAAAATTTCCAGCTCTATTCTCAACACATTCGCTAATCAACTTCGCACACGTGTGACAGCGATAATTTTGTCTATTAGTTCGATGCAAAAGGTTTGCCGCGCGACATGAACGAAATAAATACAAAGTAGAAAATCATTCAATTTTGAAGGATTAATAATTTTCACAAATGAAATGTAGACGACATCGAGTCGGTATTTCTGTAGACACTTGACGAGGAATTTTTATTTTCTTCTTGAGAAACTTAAACTCTTCCTACGAGAATTTAAGAGAAAAATAATAAACCTTTTGCATCGATTTAATGTACCTAAATAAATAAACTATTTTGCACAATTGCATAAAAATAAATATAATGCGGAGAGAATTTCTCGTATGAATAATGGTAGCAAACATGCTAATTTTACGAAGACATACGCGTCGTTAGTCAAGTATACAAAAAGGATTTTATAGCAAAAATTACTACTGACATTTTTTAATTAAAGAATTGATTTACATTCCTCAGTAATTCATTATTCTCCATTTCATGTGTGTTATTTATATTTCAGGAACTAAAATATATGCTACTGACACACATAATTTGCTATGTTTGCAATGAAATTTGCTGTTTCTTAACAAGGTAGATTATCTTATCTTCATTCCCGCACTACCGGAAACATAATAAAATTGAGAGGAATTTGTGTGAAAAAAAGCTAAGATATTCTCTACGTGTATCTTTCCGCCAGTTTGATTCTGCAGATTCCGTGGATCGCCTTACCTGCGTTAACGACGCATCCGAATTGAACGGAGAAGCCGACGAGGATCGGGATCTTCGCCCTGTTCTTATCGCCGTAGAATTCCGTGCAATACGCCATGAGGGTCGCGTGCGGCCCGCTCACGCTGACATGAATTCAAGTTTATTCGCTCGTAAACGTTTAACCGCGATAAACGCGCGGAATGCAACAGAATTCAGGTGGAAATAGAGCGTGAATGACGACAGGAAAAGTTCAACAAGCGGTCTTCTCAAATGAAAATCAGCTGGATCGTTATCACTCGGGAGAGCATAACATCGCGCGCAGAGGTTATTAGATTATTAGATTATTAATCTAGCCCGAATATAATAAAACGCAATTTCTTTATCTGTCTTACAGCAGGCCGCTGAGGAACTTGAAGAACACGAGCGTGCCGAAATTCTGCGAGAAGCCTGCGAGCACGTTGCAGACGCCGTCCGCGAAGTAGCCGTACAATATGACTTTCTTCCTTCCTTTCACGTCCGCGAGGAATCCCCATATGAAGCCGCTCATCACCATACCTATGGTGTCATTTCGCACGATGAGTTTGCGCGTGCACTTTGTGCGCACATTAATCCGATAATTCCTACGCGGCTTATCGGCTCGCGACGTCGTGGTGGAAACTCACCCACGTAGACGATAGCGTTCAGGAGGCCTTTGTCGAACAGAGATAATCCCAGATCGCTCTCCGCCGACGCGAGTATCATCGACATATTAGCGGTGTCCACGCTGGACGCCCAGGAGGCCGGGATAATCGCGAGGATGAGGAAATACTGGAACTTGCCGCTCCCAGCGGCGCTGATCGCCGTCTCGAAGTCGGCGATTTTCGCGTCCTCGACTCCAACTGTCAAGCGTGTACGATTTAGCAGAGTTTAGTCACAACAATTCGTGAATTATGAGTGCGATTAGAGGGCGATGGAAGATCAATGAGGTAAAACGAGTCGAAGAATCAATATTTGAAAATGTGGACGGACGTCACTCTGTGTCTTTCTATCTCCGAACAAACAAGCCAGTTAACGGAAGAAAGAAAGATTGGAATGACAGCTCTGTGACTGTCAATTAAAATTATACAAATGACTTTGAGCCATCGAGTGGTCAATTTAAGCACAGATGCACATGTGTTGAAGTAATGACTCACTCGAGTAATTAAAATTCAATAGTAATAAATCAGCAGGTAATTAAAGTTACAAATTAACATTTTTACAGTTGGTTAACTGAACTTTTTTTTCCAATTTTATGAGATAGATAGATAGATTTTTAGAGAGAAAAAGAGATGGAAACGTAAACTCAAAAAGCTCACGGCTCGTTCTCGCCTGAGGTTTCATTTTCTAAAAGTAATCTCGGCGAAATCTCTATGGCGGTAAAATCTATCCTGGCAAACATTTGGACGGCGTACTCACTCGAGTCTGTTTGTTCGGGTTTCTTCTTCTCGGCTGTCATGTCAGTCACGCTAGCGTGTTCTGTTAAGCGTACGACCTCACTCTCGCAGCAGATCGCGTCGTCGTGCGTAATATGCCGAATATCAGAACGCGAATACCAGATAACAGCACATCGTTCACTAGCGGGGATCGATCGAGGAATATACTGTGATTTTCAATACGAAGTGCCGCGTCTGTCGGGGCTGTGACTTTATTGAGGCGGCTTCCGTCATGAAGAGGAGCGTTCGATAGCAGGTGATTATATGCGTGGCGCGCATAGATTCTATAGGAGAATCTCTCTCTCTCTCTCTCTCTCTCTCTCTCTCTCTCTCTCTCTCTCTCTCTGTGACGCGCGCGAGTTGATGAAATCATCCCGCTTTCGAAGACATTTCCTCTCCCTGTCACCTTTTCGCGCTCATCGCACTTGATTTTCAGCAAACAATTTTATCGCTCGAGAGTCAACTCCGCGCGCTACTCCGACCCGCTCTGATTTACTACGCGCGACGCTCATGGATTAGTGTGTGTATGTGTGTGTTTTTGATGCAATCGACGACGGAAATCAATCGATGTTCGCCAATATCTGTAAGTTTTTCGGGAAAATTTTCCTTTTAATCTCGCAATTGTGACACTTCACCTCACCATGGAAAGTGCCAGTTGGGAATTTATCGTACACCTCGGTGAATTCTTTCTTCAGTTTACTGGCGTCGATTTCCAAATCGTTTTTAATTTTATGAACGTCGCTTTATTCATTCTTTCATCCGCCGCTTTATCTACAATGTTACCCGCAAGTAATTGCAAACACCTATATTTGAATTATCGCTTATCGCCCATTAGGGCGATAAGTGTCGATAGTCTGCATGTCGTGTAAACATTTCAAACTAACAAAAATATACGAAATGTTGTCTGCCTTGACATTTTCAAATATATTGATTTGTTCTACTTTATTAATCTTTTATCACACTTTAACCTTCTAACCTTATTCGTTTCGGGCATACTTTAATCATGTTCAGAGTCTAAATAGACCCAATGGTGAGAACTCACTATTTAATTGAAATATATGTATTTTTTATATCTTTTATTTTAGCATTATATAAAATAATTTAATACAATATGTACTGACTTTTTCTAAAATAACTCGAAAAGTCGCGAAGTATCACATTTGTATTTAGAATATTACAGAAACTGTGTGAACTTTGAAACTGCTCTTATAAAAAAAACCTAGAGCACGACTGGAATGTTAATCGCGCTCATACTTTGCGCACTGTCGCGGCATCAATAGGTATTCCGGTATTAATGGGAATAAATTCGCGGCATTAATCAGATTTCAGAACTGTTGAATTGTTATTAAAGATATAAGAATATAAGATAAAGATAAAGATAAGATATAAGATAAAGGTATAAGATATAAATTAATAAAAATGATAAAAGACTTAGATTGAATGAAAACTTAAAATGATAAAAGACTTGTTTTAGATTTTCTTACATCTTCGTATTACACAACGTCTACAATCGAGACATAAGATGTCTTATATTTTGACGTCTGAGACATTTTTAAGACATCTTTTAGACGTCTTATGTCTCGGTCTTAGACGTTATGTTGTGTCGGTAAAGTGTCGTATCAGGATTTTCTGCGACACTTGTTCATAACTGTCAAATAATGTGATAACCGAGCTGAAGTTTTCTTTGTTGGCTCGTATCTTTTAATCCAAGATAAATATCTGAGTTTCGTTTGTTCTTAAATCTCGTGAAAAATTTTAAATTGTGGTATTTTTTGACTACTTTTTTAGTTAGATACTTTTTAACTGTCTTCTTGAGTAGTGAAGAATTCTGATTTGTTGTGAGAGCTAGCATTCTCATTTTTATGCGCAAATTTCTTCTAAACTGATCGAATACCAATTAACTGTTGATGCAGCAGTGATTTTGTAATTGCCATTAAATTATGTTACAGTTTCCATTTAAATTTCGTTACGTGAGTTTCGTAGAGGTTGACGTGGAAGATTTCCGACCTCCCTCGCAATTCACGCTGAAAATCGTAAATTTCCTCTGGCGACGAAAATTCGGTACTTTTGTACAAATCGTTGTCTCTTCTGTACAAAGCCCCGTGAGAGTAATTTTACGGGCAAGGATGCGAAATTTGACATCTTTATGCTAACATAGGCCCGCGCTTTATTTTATCAAGTCTAACGTCTCGCACAGTGTATAACGTAAAAGTAACAAAGTGCTCCTTCGATTGAATTACAACAGACATTCCTCTGAATTCGTAATTCATTCGGTAAGAGACTGTAAAGGAGCTGTAATCCTGCTGAGAATTCCCTCAATCCCTAACCAAGCAGTATATATTACTTCATTTACGATCTTTAGATCTTCCATGCTCTCGTTTCAGTTCTTTCGTTTACATTATTCGCAGAGGTGAAAATAACTAATCGACAATTATCCACCGTCTAATATCAGTAGACTTCAAATTCACAACTACTCGTTCGCAAACATTTCAATTTTTATTCACTACCTCAATATTTTTCGGTTCTTATAAATAATCCTTAATATACAAGTTTATTTGAATTAAAATTTTATAAAAGTTGAAGTTGCAGAGAAAATTAATACGTTTGTTACCACAATTATTTATTTGAAAAACTCTTCTCACAGGCCACTTCATATATATATACATATTTTACATAATATTGTAAAATAGATTCAGTTTGATAACGTAGATTACACATATTCTGTTACACATATGTAACACTGGTCTCGTGTGAGAGATTGTTGCATTGTATATACACTAAGAATAAATATTGAAAATTTATTTGTGGGATATAAAGTTTACTTCTACGAAGTAAAGTATTTCTGTGTGGGTGTATGTAAATATATAAATTTTATATCCCACGCAAACAAATTTTTAAGTATCTTTTTCTCAGTTGCATAAGAAAAAAGTTTAGTTTGATCAACTAAATTTCTGATAAAATATGAACAAAGTTTCTGTAGAAATTATCAAAATTCTAATGACAAAATTAATAAAATTTCTGGTTGAATAGAATTCTTGAATAGAATTCTTGAATAGAATGGTGACTTTTCATACTGAAACTTTCTGGTTCGTTCATATTTCACCAGAAATACGGTTAATCTAAACCTTCTTTCCGTGTATGTAACGTAGTGAACGTGTTAATGTCTATCAAATATCGCATCATAAACTGTCCGTGATAAGATTTCCGAAAGCACGAACGGTCATCTTCCACGCGGTGTGAAGTCTCCCTCGGAAATCTCATGGCGATGACAGCAGTTGTGTCCAGAATCCGCGCCGAAGAGGATCTCCGTCGAGCGAGAACTCCACGGAACTGTTCTCGTCGATAGACACGACACGGTTCGCGTCGTCGCAAATCATTCCGCCCGCGCGCTAATAAAAACGCGCGCGACAGCTCGCGTCAGGTCAGACAGCTTCGTTCGATAGGTAGCGTGCAGAGCGAGTACACGAGAGAGAAACGCCCGCGCAGTCGATCGCAGACGGCATATCGATTATCATCATCACTATCACCATCGTCATCATCATCGACAACTCGTACGAATCGCACTTTATTCGGCTCCTGCGTGACGATGGTGTCGGAAACAACCCGTCCGTCTTGGAGAGCTCTTCCTCCCAGGTAAGGCGGTTAGTTCGACGCATCTCAACGGCGATGACAACGGGGATCGGTCGTAAAACTTTCCGCAAGACTTTAGTCGCGTCCCACGTAAGTCGCACGTTCAATCGATAGCTTCCTTTACCGCGTCTTACTGTCATACTTTCGCTATTGTCACCTTTTCCGATCGTCATATTCCCGCGATAGAGATGGGACTCTTGGACCCGTGTTAATGGCCGTCACTTGAAGCTTCACGCGACGTTTCACGACGGAAACGCTGAGAAAGACTAGTAACTATAGTATGTAGCGTACAATATAATCGTTAAGTACAGACGAAAGTCGCGCTGGGTGTAATAAACGCGCGCACCAACATCGGTATCTGTCTGATAGAGCATGCGGTGTTTGTCGGGATAAGTGCGACGTGAATTGCACGTATTGTACATAGACCCGAGTCGATATTTTAATCCTTCTTTCGACCGCAATATTCCATTTAATGCCTACTTTAATACCTCGAAGCCTATGTCAATCTCTTGAATTCTATTTATCCTACAGCTTTGTAAGCTCAGCTTGGAAAACTCTTTTTTAGAACTTAAAAGTGGTATTTTGTGCGTTTTCTATCATTTAGAAGCACTAACAAGAAAACCTACCCAAAAGTTACAATCCGATTTCTTTCTAATTTGGCACAAATATAGAAGTACAACAAATATTTAGGTCATATTTTTTCATTTTAGCTCACTTTGTGTTTCGCGGGCAGTTTATAGCTTTTCAATGTTCTCATTCCTATCACCAACAAGTGCAACAAAAATGCATAAGAAATAAAATTGAACACAAGATATAGGCGTTTTTTGGTTTACTGATTATGAAGTCAAATGTGTAAAATTATTTGCATAAATAACAAAGTGTTTAAACAAAACATGTAAAAAGTTGAAAAAAATTATTTACACAAATAATTTTTCGGTTTGGCCGGGATTCGAACCATTTTTGACTAATTGAGCACAGATTTAAAATTTTTCGGTTGGAATCTCGGCTAAAGAAATTTAGAATGGTTCGTGTCTCAGCTATGCCGATTTTGTTAAAATTTTAATTAAAATTGCTGGATTTCTTTCTCTCGATTTGGCCGAGATTCGAATCATTTTTGACTAATTTAGCACAGATTTAAAATATTTTGGTTGGAATCTCGGCTAAAGAAATTTAGAATGGTTCGTGTCTCAGCTATGCCGATTTTGTTAAAATTTTAATTAAAATTGCTGGATTTCTTTCTCTCGATTTGGCCGAGATTCGAATCATTTTTGACTAATTTAGCACAGATTTAAAATATTTTGGTTGGAATCTCGGCTAAAGAAATTTAGAATGGTTCGTGTCTCAGCTATGCCGATTTTGTTAAAATTTTAATTAAAATTGCTGGATTTCTTTCTCTCGATTTGGCCGAGATTCGAATCATTTTTGACTAATTTAGCACAGATTTAAAATATTTTGGTTGGAATCTCGGCTAAAGAAATTTAGAATGGTTCGTGTCTCAGCTATGCCGATTTTGTTAAAATTATTTAATTATATATCTTGTATTCAATTTTATTTCTTACCTATTTTTGTTGTATTTGATGATAGGAGTGAGAATGTTAAAAAGCTATAAACTGTCCGTAAAACTCAAAGTGGCCAAAA